GCTCTGACGAACAAACTGGTCTGTAGAATACGAATTCCACAATCCGCTTAAGTGCACAATAAGTGCAACAAAACTTGTCTGTTGAGAATCCTCACATGAGGTCAGGATGACTGGAGTAGGGAGACGTGCACAGGGAATGTCCAAGTAGTCAAAACATAACGAAAGCTTTTCTATAGAGGAAAATGTTGGTAGCTCAGGTATCGTAGATGGTGGTCGTTGGCTTGTTCGCTGAGCTGGGCAATTTGATTGCAAACGTTTCATCACCAATCGAGGTGACATCATCCGTGAGTTATTGTGGAGCGTAGTAGTGCGTAGCGGTGGGTTGGTGGTTGTGCACTACTACGCTCCACAATAACGCACTGATGATGTCACCTCGATTGGTGATGAAACGTTTGCAATCAAATTGCCCAGCTCAGCGAACAAGCCAACGACCACCATCTAAAAATTTACTATTCACAACAGCCGCATTAACTAAGAATGGACTACTGATCAAGTGAAATGTCTGGAAGATTAATGATAAACATTGTGGAATAGTGCGTGTCGGGAAAACTACTCTTCGCAAAGGTAACGGTCAGTTATGAAATCCTGTCTAATGCGTGAAAAACTCATGATTTATATCACACAAAAGAAGCACAGTGTTACGAGCACCTAAAGAAACGGTTCCTTGAATGTAGAGACCATTTACAAGCAAGGAACGGTCTATACATTCGCTGAGACTGGTCTTCACAGGGGAAGACTGTAGCTTGATAAAAATAACTTATCACCGAGGTTAGTGACGGAGAGCTTATTACCATCCCAAAAGATTTAATCAAATTGACTTCGTGCCCATACAAAGATTCTGAAGGCCTACAATAAAGAAACCATGACTGAAAGGCGGGGAAATCTTTCGCCAAAATACTTATCCGCAGAACATTTTGACTGATGCACCTTTTACGAAGATTCCAAGCTTCCAGTGATCTGAGCGGTTATTCCAAGTAACCTACGATGTTGGGGAACGTCGCACACTGCAATGTTATGATACAAGTGCTATCCGAGTGCTATCCGAGTGTTATCTCGTGTAAAGCGTTTCTGTATTTGCATGTTCAAAGAGGCGCATGGCATGAAGTCGCAAAAATTGTGAGCTAAGTTCATCTTCCTACAGTTCTGTGTGATTGATCACAGACATACCTACCTGCAGTCATAGTGTACTTGAACTCCTCAAACTCGGTGGTCTCGGATAGTTCGCTTAAAAATCCCGACTGCACTGAGGAAAGCTTTGAATGCTCAGGGTTTACATCCTCCTGGGGAGCCGGTGGCTGGCCCGCTTCGATGACATCCTGCGCGCCAGCATGCTCGGCCACTTGTTCCACTAAGTCTGATTCTCTTAATCTAGCCGCTTCTTCTGCCTCCACCGCTTCTTGTTCTGCCCGCCTAATTTCTAGAAGACGCTCCATCGCTTTAATAGGTTCCGTCTGAAAAACAATATTTTAGGGGTATTCAGCGCATTTGTGAATGTTGATGCTACACGAATGTCACCACCTTGACCTACCAGATTTTTGTACGTTTCAAATATCAACGCCTTCAGGTGAATATGATGTAGTCGATAGTTTTTGCAGAGTTCTTTGGCCAGCGGTGTCTTACCCACGCCAGGTGGACCCAGCACACAGAGCCGCAGAGGCTACATTGAATCAAAACGAAAGTGAGATTAGGCGAATTGCGTCAGAACTAGTGTACCTTGAAGGAAAGCTAAGAACATAAGCGAAATATGTTTGGGTTGTTTTATGTACCTTTGCGGAACAGATAGATTCTGATAGAAAAGATGATTCCAAAAGATTACACGGGTTGGTAACTTCGGGATAATGTGTGACCCCTCTCATTTTTCACTTGATTAGGTTTAGTGATCTAATACTCCGCCTGTTTTGACTGTCTATGTTTAATGTTTGAAAGTTGCCTAGGGATGCTGCGCAGTGTTCTTGAAGCGAAACACTGCGTGTTGTGTTCGTGGTGAAATACAACCGTTTTCTGTAGAACAAACTCGTTTCTCAGGGAAGTAATGTCGCCACAAAAAGCGAAATCCTCCAGCCCTACTAAAGGCATAAGCCAGACAAGGTCCAGCGCGGTGATACACTGGGGAAGTACCAGTGACCACATACTTTGGTGGTACACACGTGTTACAAACAAGTGGGATTTTTATAATCGTAAAATTATATTGACGATAAACAACTTCGGAAAATGTTATTACTTGAATCCTACAGTAATTAAATCTTTGTGCATCAAACTGTCAATACATTGTACAAGACAACTGAGATGATAATCCTTAATTGCTGAATTAAGGCAGTTACATTCCCCAATCACAGAATGAGAGTTATAATTTTATGTATTGACGGTCAAAATTTCATAAGGTGTCAAGTTGAATCAGTTCACAGTGATGGCTGAAGACTCCAAAGAAGCATAAATCATGAAAGCAACTCAAAAAGCCGATAATGTAAATGGATCTAAATTCGTATGTAAAAACCTATTCAACTCGTCAAATTCAGTGCAGAAAGAAGTAAGAATCTTTCTTACCCACAGTTGCAAGAAACAAGGATCAGCAGTTTCCTAAATTAGTTTTATTGTCACTTAGATTCCTTTTCAGACGGTGGATCTTCAGGATGTTACTTTTCAACTGCCGAATGAACAGGCTATATTGTGGTGCGAATTTCCTGTTACAACGGACTGTTTGTTTGATTCCAGTGAGTTCTGTTTTGGCACATATGCTGAATACATGGGGAGCTGGTATCCGTCTTCGGGTTTGTATGTTGCATCGAGCCATACCACTAGGTTCTTGCAACATGGGTTGTACACCATGTGATTCGCTTCGAACAGCGTGCGTAGCCACTGGAACGCTTGTCACCCGGTGTAAAGCAGACTTCATATGAGCGAAGGTTCAGCAAGGAGGTGAAGGGCTCAAACCATCATCGTGGTCAACCGATGGTCCATAATCATCAGAGGAATTAAGATGACCAAATAACTACAAACCACAGTGCAAAAGGTAGTCTGTTGTTCCTACCACTCACAGGATGTATCAAGGCGCACACATCTGACACACGCAAGGTACCTAGAAAGAAACCCCCTTATCTTCTGTATTATCTCAAAACCACTGCTTTCTGGGTTCCCGGGCGTTTTATACATCCGGCTCATTGTGGAAGTCACATAAGGGACCCACTGACGGCGCTAACAGATATCAGTTGTTGGTCTATTAGGAGGAGATGAGGCGAACCAATGTGGAATTTAAGGGAAAATGTATGACACAGGGTGGGGTCCATTTTGTTAGTAAAGCATTTGACAGCAAGCAAGAATTGCTGGGTTCTAATACCATGCAAGTGTTTTTCAGATAACGTTATGTATACTTAGGTTCACACTAGAGAATTTTGAAGTCCAGTTCTATTCTACCTCATCGTCATTGTCATTACTCACAGAAATACACCAAGACCACATACTGGCACTTAACCGCTATACAACCGTGAGAAAAGAAAGCCCTAGCGAAAAATGGAAAACACAATCGAAGGGTACGGGCATGGCGTGAAGAAGTCCCCCTACACTGGCGGAAGGATTTAGTGGGCTAGGGTTCAGTAGGCTAACTCTTGTAGATCGAGAGCGTGTCATACTCTCAACAAGTGTACCTGGATGTTGTATTCGAGTTTCGGGAATGCTGCAGATGTCAACCGATAAGGTAGTTGGAAAACGGGAGAGATCAGCTTAATGGCTAATCCATCCAAAGTTCTGACGTTAGAAATCGTGTTGAAAACAGAACATCTAAGGCCAAAAAGCCGAAGTGTAGTGGTAGATTTGTGATGTGTCAATTTTACCTAACTGATATATATAAAGCTAAAATTTACACAAGAATGACGTTCATATTGAACAAGATAGGTGTCAAGAGAGAGATGGGAGACATCAGCACTCACGTTGTCCACTTATCTTCGAGGATGCATGCAGCGAACAAGCTGACCCAGATGGGTCTCCACGCAACGCCCGATGCGGCATGCGAATAATTTTATCACTAAAGTTTACGGCTATACGCTTATCCAGATAGCGCCAGGTCACCAGGCCAGGAAAACTAGGAGACTGTTTATAGAACCCTATTTGTCGACCAGCCTGGCAGATGAGACTCCAAGGATGTTGTATGGGTATCGTCTGGTATGGTTCAGTGGGTTACTGGGGTACGCAGTCCACCGTACCATAGAAAGACCCATTCGCTTCGCATCGGATTCTCTTCCATATTCAAATCTGGATACAAAAATGGTGACCTCTTCTCCGATTTTCGCAGTCATGCACACTCACTGTAAAGCACGACAGAAATGGGGACCTCGTGGTTGATGACCATTCTTATACTCGGACCACTATTGCTATGTGACACATGGTCCTTCAGGCAAATTCATTGCTGACTAAATAACAAAATGTCGATCTGTTGCTAGTGGATAAAGGAAATAAATAAGCACCTTTTATCTATAATTAATTTTTCGCACGGTGCGTGCACAAAAGCCACACTGACATAGAAGGTCCACTTGGTCACTAAACTGGACCTGGAAAAAACGCAGGTATATTTATGGCTCCGTAGTACAAGCAGATTCATGCATTTCAATCCTCAATAGCATTCACCGACCGAATATCGCGACATTTTGGATAAAAGATTTCATCTGTCACCGCCGCACCACGTGGATACAGGACATAGTTTTGGACACGGGAAAATGGATTGGAAGTACTTCATTCTTCCAGCAAATTAGGTCCGCTCACGGTCCTCATAATGGTAGACAAGCTGTTTCCAAGGCGAGTTTTAGCCATTCATTCTAAGTAACCTAACCAATACAGCCGGTTTCCCATCAGACTGTATTCCAGCTCAACGGTGTTTCATCTTCAAAGGACTATACTATTCGAAATTCGGTATGCCATTTGATTCTATGGAAATTTCACAGATATTGCAGGTTAAATCTGACAAGAGCTCGAACATTTCTTCTGTATGGTGGCCTGGTCTGACTGCCACACAGTAGTGAAGATGGCAAAACAACATAATACACTACGATCTTGGTGTCAATACGGAAGCGATGATTGCTCCGGACGCATTTCTCAGAAAGACGAAATATCGGACTGGCTTTTGCAATTCACACGTTTGTTTCATTGTTAAATGTCAAATATGTGGATAGCGTGATGTCCAGCTAGTAGGAGTCCGTGCAGCTTCCTATCCCACAATCATTTAGCAGAATATGCGGTATCTTGTGTTGAATCCTATATACAGGCTGATAAAAGAAAAACCTTTCAGAAATGTTTGTATCCAAGCCAATCCGAGACGCCACTGAGTCGTTGTAATTCCACTTCAGAAAACGAACACAAGTCACAATGGTATGCAAAAAGCAGCATTCGGATGTTTGACCCGCGAAATAGTGTTTTGGTGGAGAAACGTTTCAAATTGAAGAGGTGACCAAGCAACCGTTATTGAATTATTGTCACCGTAATGGCGGAGTGTCTGTGCAGATGGATGTTAAGTAGAGGCCGAAGGGGGTCGGGGTAAGACACAACCCTGCTTCACTCTGATAGCGAATGAGAAATTATTGTATTTAGTTCCGCGGGACCGCGAGCCTACATTCCAGTGTGCGAAAGGCTTTGTTTACTCGGACAGCTCAGCTTTTGTATGGGGGTCCACACTGCTTCTTTGTTGTCAAAGACTTTGGGATAGTTCACAAACGGCCCATATGGCGATTGGTTCTGTTCACGGCATTCCCCTTAGATTTCCCTTCTGGGAAATTTATGTCCATTGCACTTAGATAGCCTCAAAGCCCACGTTGTTTTTTTATTCGAAAAACCACCGACTACTCAACGGAGCTGGATAATTGCCTGTTATGAGTTGAAGAACCATTCTACGGTATTTGTCCGTCTTCCTCCGATTTCTATTCTCTTTGTGTAAGGAGATTACTGCTATGTCCTTTAAATATTGTGGACTATCTCACATCTCCGAAATCGTGCAAGACATACTTAGAATTTTGTTCTGGATTGTCAATCCGGGCAGGCCAAACAGTTCCGTGAGTGACCCATTCGATCCCACTGCTCATCCATGTTGTGGTTGGTTCATGGCTCTCAGCAGCTCTGCGACTGTGGGCAAACCAGCTATATTTATATATGTTCAAATGTAGACACATTCGTATCCTTAGGTGGTTTGACTCCAAAAGATTATTTCACTTGTCTTAATATGTGATCGTCCCAGTGCATGCATGGTCGAGTGGTGCCATGACTTTGCCAATTGGGCCGTCACCAAAAACAGAGTTAACTCAGAACATCAGGTTTTGTTTCAGTCCGTCTGAGGTGCACTAGTCAATCATGTGCTGCTGTGGTGAGTGCATAAGTTCTGATGCTATGCTCATCATACAACCACAAAGACATGTCTTACATTAAATTTATTATTCCTTTTCATTTCCGAAAAAGCCAGATCCTCCCAATAAATATCGTCTGCGCAACTACTGGTCGAGAGCGTACTTTTGAGGGCTGCCAGTAAATCGATGGGTCATCCGAAACCGACAGACCGTTTTCTCATTTTTTGTGTGGGCATTGCATATTGTAGAAAGTAGAAACATGCGAGAATTGCAAACAAGATTGAATCAATTGGTCGGGAACACAATGGTAAGGGGCAGCCTACTTCGTTACCTTTCGGGTGACTTTTCTAAAATTTGAGCTTGACAAATCTTTTAGGGTTAGAAAAGTCAGACATGGAATGCCGTGGGTGTATTTGCCAATCACTTTAATTTGCTACGCAGCTCTATCGGCTGAGAAACAAATCCATTGGACCAATGCGGACAAATCAGTTGAGATGAAAAAGAAAAAACAGTCGGAGTAGATCTCCGAACCGTCTTGTTTGTATAATGTGCTTGCAACCACTTTAGCTCCGGCACGAATGTTTGAGGATGCATTGCCTTGGCTACTGTTATACTGCTTGCTTCGATACAACTGACATTGCTTGCAAGTCTTAGAAGTCCTTCAATCGTATTGGTGCGCCCTATCAGTTTGAGCTTTGTCCGATACACTGTGATGAACTGCAGCATCTAGCTTGGGAGATTGTAACTTACTATGAGGTTTGACCGGGGTATCGATGCGGTGGAGATTTCGTAACGCTTCAACATGCACAAGATTATTTCCCTAACACTCCTCTGAGAACCTCTAATGTCTCTGAAGCATATTGTCTTCCGTTAACATTCTGCTGTTGCGGAGTCTAAAGTAGCTGTTGGAGGAGTCAACAGACGAATGTGAAGAGAACGTAGCCTACAACTGCATACCAAACTGCATGTTTACAAAGCGATGTCTCCATCTGTCCCCTTGTAGAACATTGAAACATTAATAGTGTATATGCCCAACCTCTGGTATTTGATCAGCTTTCACATGCATTACTCGGGATGGATATTTTGTTTTTACTGGTCCGAACAATTACGAGTCTTCCGACGAACAGAACGGAGGCCGCGATCAAGTCCAGCCGTCTATAATATGCTTCCCGAATGGACAGAATTCTCAAAAACCTCCCATATTGTCAGTTGAATACGAAGCAATAGATGCCTCTCAGACAAAAGCTTCGATATCCGTATACTTTGGTTAAAATCATGGTGCCGGTTTGAATCTCGTGCATCGGGAAGCGGCAACACAAGACAGTATAGCATGGAGGGGGACTATGTGAACTTGAGTTGGTGAATTCACTAGTCGTCAACTTTGAACCCCAGAGATGTAAATGGTGCATGACGCATGGGTATTATTGGAGTTTTTGAACCTTGAGACGGAACAAGTTGAACCGAAATGCAATCTGAAAAAGTTGCAAAGACTACATGGCAACTTCCAAAGCGAAATGTGTATGTTGCTATTCAAGCTCAGGAAACTAAGGTTTCCACGGCGTAGAACCCTTTTTACACTTCGGATTTAGCTAGGTTGAAGGGACATTCTTGTGATCCTTAGGACAATTTCTGAACCAGTGATTACCCCGAGAAATGCCTTCTGTTCAGTTTCCGTCTCATGCTTACAAGTCAAGCTTACAAATTCCTCCTTGCTGAGTTAGCTCACTGAAGTATGTCATTTAAGTTTTTTTTAAATCACCTATTGTTGGAACCAAACCAAACAGTCAACCAAGTACCCATATCAACCAAATCCAGCGGGACATTCACAGGTTGATATAACTCGGTGGCTATAAATTTGCTGAAAACCGTTCGACAGCTCACGATCGGTTTCACTCTCCTTGTGACTTATGGAATATACCCAGTCGGCGAGATTCCATCATCATCATTGTCAGCTGTAAGAACCGCGTACTGGTCGTACACTGGTTGTAGCTGCCACAGTTTCGTTCACCGATGATTGGGGGGGTAGGTAGCTGCGCATTTCATGCGCGAGCTGGTAAATTGGTGCATAAATCCAGCACTGTTAGTGGGCTGTCAAGCGGGGGGTGGGGGGTGGAAAAAGAGCTATGCATTGAAGGCAATAGCTTGGATGCACGAGCGCCATTGAGGGCGCGACTGGGCCATGTCTGATAATGCCTCTAGCCATTGATGTGGCCCGTCTCGGGGTCCCCATCCAGGAAGACGGCAGTGACCAGCGCAGCTGAGTTTGCTGGTAATGGCCTTCATACTTCGCTGCCAAGTCATTGTTTGACCGCCTCTGGCTCTCTTCCACCCTTCACATGGTTGGGCGAAAAGGAAGTCGGTCGATTGGCATACGCAGCACGTGGCCAAGCCAACGCAACCTGTGCAGTGTGATCAGTTCATCTATCGAGGGTGAGTTATTTCTCCCGAATACCATTCGACGTACTTCAGAATTGCTGATCCGGTGATTCCATCAAGTTTATGTTCTACTTGGACACCAAGCTATACGCAACTGACAAGATACATGGTTTCTCGGATTATTGCGGTATTAGCAAAAAGCTCAACAAGAGATTCATTTGATATCAGCAAAGAAGGCTGCAACTAAATGTATTTTTCCAAGTGCAAAACCAGTTTTAAAGATTCAAATAAATTAAGTTTACATTGAGCACTGAAGTGCACAAGCAAATATTTACTTCCCTCAATCCCCTCCAGAATGAAAGAAAATTTCGTTGGTGCACGTTGGGTTACGATTCTTACAACTACTGAAAAAAGTGTCAAGGCAACAGCAAGATCGGGCACTCTTTACTAAAGCCTAAAAATAGAATATCCTCTCATTGCTGGAAAATCAAGGTTTGCATCTTAACAAATCAGGATATGGCAATAGTCACATCGAATATATACCTGTAAGAAATTTCCAGATATGACATAGAGTCCACCTAAACGAACTCGTAGGTTAGCAGCCAACACATTTCCTTCAAGGCAATCCATAGAAGTCAGACTTAGATGTAAAATCTACAAACCATCCATATTTGTGCTTGATCTATGTCCTGCACCAGTGTCCAGTTGTTCCCACTTATAAACTTGTATTTGTATTCACCCCCCTCCGACTGCCTTGTTTACATTATTCATGTTACATAGCTAGTCGGTCAGGTCATCCGCACGAAAGTCACGTGCTGGGGTATCTTGTCCGGCATTCTCTATGGTCGCACTACTAAGTTAGTCCAAAGAAATGCCTTTACTCTTCAGCCCGAGAGCTAACACCATTCTCAGAAGCGGCCTGTGAGTCAGAATCATCGGCCACATTGAGCTCGCCCAGGCGGCTGTCGTTGGTGTGAGAAGTGTCTCTAGACTGGTTGCGAGTGTGTTACGCACACCTCGCTATAAGATATTGTTGTGCAGACCTCAAGTTTAGCGGGCCTTTGGCCGATTGCTTCTTAGCCGAAATTTGTATTACAGGTAAGAATGATACGTAAGTAGGTACAGCTACATACGTAGGACTTACCTTCAGATTGTTGGCATCAATAAACTCCTTCACCAGCCGAGGCATAATTTCCACCATCCCATTCTCACTAGTCCAGCGTACTTGCATCTCTTCCTTGATCGCAATAGCTTCTATCCTTAAATCCATTGTCAACTGATCCAGGGTAAGTTGCTGCAAATCAGACACAGGTTTAAAAGTGTACATACACATACTGTTCGTGAGGCTTTTAGGTGGAGATTTAGTCTTGTAAGTGGAGCTAATCTATGCTTCAAAGCCTGGAGACACTGTACAACTGTTTTATCCTTACTCGGAAGCATTAGCGGTGCGAGTTAACAACACTGGCCGCTCGTGGCCGAACGGTTGGTTGTTCAAACTACCAACCAGGAGAACGTGGGTTCAAGAATCCGTAGAGTTTCATGAGATGTGAACTTCTGATGATTATCAATAAGCATGAAACAGTACTTGTTGGTTTTTCAGAATATACTGGCTTCGCTTACAGGACGAAATTCTCGGAACTTCTCACACTGCCTAGTGTTCAGCATTTGCCTCCAACTGATCGGATATCAGCATCATCATCATCGACAGCATGACATCAGTGTTCAACACCGATGCTTCACTGCCGTACAACCATGACTTATTTGAAAGCCTTATTATAAAGAAAAGAATAAAGGTGGATGGGGGATGGACTTAATGCTGCCTTAACACAATCATTCCGAGGTGACTACACGTCCAGACATTCGCTCAGGCAATCTGGACAGAAACTGACAACAGGAACGCCACTGACATCGGTTGGCAGCCATACCTTGTAGTGTCTCCAACCAGGCACAGTGAGGATCACGCGGTCCCCATCCTGGAAGGCGAGTAGCACCGACAGCACCCAAGCGTTTCGTGATCTCCTTCATACTCCTCTGCCAAGTCAAAGGTTGGCCACCTCTCTGTTTACGCCACTCTGAGTTGGGCATGGAAAACAGTACTCTCTTCGGCAAACGATGGTTCGGCAAACGTAACACATGTCCCAACCAACGCAGCTTCTGATGCTGGACACATTTTTCAGTGGTAGTACCCGTTACCCAACCGAAAACACGCTTTCTAACTGCCCCGTTACGGATTCGTCGACACCAACCCACACGAGCTATGGTTCTGAGACAACGATTGTCGAACACCTGAAGACGTCTCAGGATATGAACTGCTATTCCTCAAACTGAATGAAAGGAAAAAGTGGCCGCTGAAGCTACCACGACCAATTAAAAATACTATCTAGTGGAAAACTAAACTCACCAGGAGTGCTCCTGAATTCACCAGCTCTGGAGTGCGAAGCATCTGTATTTCCCCGTTGGACAACTGTTTTGAGATGGCCTATTTGATAAAAGATATTCTTGTTGGTAGTGTTTCCGTGGAGTCATTGGTGTACCTACGTCAATAGTTAAGTAAACTAGTAATCTATATCTAATCAGTACGCCCTCTCTGTGACGCTGCCAAATATCCCATGCTTACGAAGACCATAAATGCAAGGAAAAATGGACTTCCCTACCCATGTTTTGGAGTCCCTCTAGCGAGCTACCCTGAACTTCTTTGGTGACCCTAAATGCCTCATTCAGAAAGCTTTGGCTGGATAGAATTAATGAAATATTGACCAGTCGGTGTATAGCGTCATTTGTTTTGTCAGCAGAGGGGTCCAGCATCCTCGAATTTTCAACGGTGAATCGCTTAAACCTAAAATAAAGGAAAAGTTGCACACTAAATGCCTGTGAACCAGAGTCCTTTATCTGTACAGTCAGTTCTTTGTTTCGTCAATTTCGGTATTTAGCGATGTAGTTACCGCCGCTCCAAAGTGGCAGTGAGGAATTTTGGAAGTTGATTTCAAAGTCTTTAAAACTGAAAGCTGGTGAGACACACTGGCTACCTTCCCTAACCGTCACACTAGGTCAGATTTGGTTGCTAAGTTGAATACAGACTTTCGGTTTCTTGTAACGACTACTTATCTAGTTTTTACAGCTTAAAGGTCTATCACATTTTTTCCGACGACACCTTGTTCATATCAGCTTAGAGGAGAGACAGCAAGCTGTTTCTATTAGCTAGTGAAGTGATATCGTCTCCCGTGAAACGCCGGATTAGAGCTCTTCGAATGTCTGTCTTGTATTAGTTTGCATATCGGAATTAGTACCCCGACGGTTAGAAGATAGGTAGCTTAAGATCATTCAGTATCACATTCAACATCTTTACAGAAATTACCAACTCACTTGAACAATTTCGGCCAAGGTATTATTGCTTTCGTCTTTCACCACCATGTAACGTTGCCTAGGTGGATTGTCTGCGATGTTTTGAATGACACTGAAAAAACGATCGCAGTGATTGAGATAGTCATTTGCATACAGATGCGCCAGATTGAGACCCATAGGTTTCAGAGAAAAGTACCAAAACTGAGTTCAGACACAAAGTTTCCCCACCAGAAGCCGAACTAAAAAAATTTAATATCCAAAGGCCATACCTGATTTTGCAAACTTAGTGGTAAAATGATATGAATATACAACTTACGGTCTTTGAACCAATATTTGGGACTGTCATTTTGTGGAATTAAATCATGTGAGAGTTGTTCATCGTAGGTAAAAAATTTCATTTCTAACCGTGCTTCACACGTTTAATTTTCATTTCACTAGGGCGAATTCGGTTGTTTTGGAGACACACAAGTTGAGAATAGGTCTGTACTTCTACGGAGGAAGCTCAGACATAATTGACGCATTGTCAGTGCAGAAAGCATGAAAACTAGCCAAGTAGTATTTACAGCCATGCTGATCGATTGTGCTAACAAAACCGTCGGCAAGTTCACTCCGCAGTCACCTTTGGCCGTCAGCCGCTCCTTAATTGTTCAACTGTTGCGTTCGGTTAAGCCGTTTGTTTGCGGATGGTTGGGTGTCGTCCTTAGCCGCTTGATGCCAAGGTTCTGCAAGCAGCTCCTAAACTCTTCGCTCTCAAAGCGACGCTTCTGGTTCGTTAGGATCAGTTTCGGTACATCGGAGTTGATCACTGTTGCGATACATGACCACCCCACTGATCGTGGTCGCCCGTTGATTTAGTACGGCTGCCGCCTCGACCCACCGTGACAGGTGTTCTGTCATTATTACGAAATATTGATTTCAACTAGCTTTTGCGGGAATGAGGCCCATAACATCATCGGACCATACGTCGCTGATCTCTGATATAGGAATAGGTCCCATCTGGTGAGTCGTCCATGTCGTATACCCTTTCGTCAGCTGGCACCGCTTTCAGGACAGCACACAACCCATTAACTCACCTCTCATACATGACCAATAGGCCCCCTGCCGAAGTAAATCACACGTCTTGGTGCACACTCTGTGTGCCATCTCGTGGTACTTGACGATCAGCTTCTGTCTTAGGGCGCGGGTTCTCACGGGTAGCACAACACCTGTATCGGTGGCGTTTAATGATGTTATGCCTGCTTCACTCAGGCACAGCCTGTGGGGGTGCTTCTGAAGCATATCCAGTTCTCTGTCACCCTTCCTGTTCCCAATACTCCCTTCATCCAACAAAGAGGCCGCAGTCTTCCGTAATACGGGATCCTGCCGCTGTGGTTGCACCAAACTTCCGGGATCCAATTCGACGATGAGACTATTGGCGCCTATCATGATGTTCGGGGCCTCATCTTCAGCCTCTTGTCTTGATATTAGATCAGTCAGGTGGTTCTCCCTTCGCGGCATGTGTCAGATCGTAAAGCCGCACTCTTTTAGCCAGTGTCCAGCTCGCGGGATTTCCGCGAGCATCTCTAGTGGTCCTGATCCACTCAAGAAATTTAAAATCGGTCTGGACGTAAAATCTTTGTCCCAGTAAGTATGGCTTCCACTTATTCAGGGCCCATTCTCCATGGTGAGTACTTCTGCTCAGTGACGGTCAGGATATGACCAGGATATTCTGCTTCTGGACTGCACTGCTACATCGGTTACTAGCGTCCGTTGTAACAGCAGACATCTTCTCAACCCTGAACAGTTTTAGGGTCAGATCCAGCATCCACGCTTTGACACGTTCAGAGATCCCATACGCTCCTCTGGCGTAGTCAAATTTCCTATTTCGCCGCAGCAAGTCGTACACTGAGGTAGCAATCGTGTTAAAATCCTTGACAAACTGGCTGTAGCGTACTGCTCGTCCGAGAACCTGCCGCAGGGACCGCTTTGAATTTGGGAATGCACTGTCCTGGACCTTTGCCAGTTTTCCTGGCAGTGGGCTAACCTCCTCGGGACCCGATTTATGCCCGAACAGTGTCACCGGATTCCAAGCGAGCTGTGCCTTGGCTTCATTTATCCTCAGGCCAGTTTCCTGAATGTGCTTCAATATGGCCTTCAGGTGAACTGCATACTCTGGTTACGAACAGCTATGCAAAACAATATCGTCTCCACAGACGGCAGCATTCTGTAGTCCCTTCATTGAACGAAGCATCAAGCGCCGGAATATGAATGGTGACCCCGACAAACCAATCGGCATCCGTCTAAATTCATATTGGGTGTCCCCAACAGTGAATGTCGTTTTCTTCTGGTCCTATGACTTGATACCTAGTTGTCAGTATCTGGAACGCAAGTCTAGCACCGTAAGCTATCTGGATTGATGAAGCGAATGGAATAACTCCGCAACAGAAGAGACAACCACAGCCCGATTTACCATCAGTGCATTCAAACGCCGAATTCCAGTCAGAATCGGTATTTCCCGTTCGGCTTCTTTACAAGCACAATCGTGGAGTTGTACGCACTGTTGGCTTCTTCAATTAGTCAATTTTCCAAAATCTCTTGAACCTGTTTATGGACCTCCTCTCATGGATGGAACGGCAGCTGACGGGGGCCGTAAGGTCGAGAGCGTTCGGACGAGAGGGAGATCTCGTGTTCGGTCCACGAGAAGCCAAATTGATCTCCAACGCCTGCGAACAGTCCAGCGTACTCCTCGGCCACGGACTGTTACTGACGGCACATTATAAGATGGAAGCTTTCGGATATGCAGTTCGCTGACGGTAGTGCTTGAGTAACTCTCAAGCTTCATTGAGCCATATCTTGTCATCAGACTCCCCGGCTTTGTGTCCACCACTGGTTCTGCGCTCCTGAATATACCTGTTCCCTGCTCTATGTCTGGGCTAATCCGAAGCTCGTGCTGCACCGATCTGTCACCTGGGCGCATTGAGTGCATTGACAATCCGTCAATTTTCAGTCAGTATTCACCCATTTCCCTGACGGCTAGCGCACATGGTTTGCAGCCAGCTTCGCCCCCTCTCTGCCTCAGTGACACCCTTTCTCCTGTATCAATTAGGTGTAGTTCCCTCTTCCTGTCTATCTCGATAACGGCTTGTATCGTAGCCTGTGTCGCAACACCAATCGCAACCCACCCGGGAAAAGAAGAGTAATCCAAAACGTTATTATTTATATGTGGTCGAGTACGGCGACAGTGATTTTTCGAGTCATTGCACAGTTGTAACATCGGCTCGTTTGAGCGTGCCTCCGCGATCCTGTTTTGACGGCGGCAATCTGTTCGGTTAGTCGGTCCACTTTTGCCCGTAGATCCTCCACTGACGAATCACCCATTTTTTCCCCTGTGACTGCAACGTGGACTCAGGCAATTCTCATGCCAGATGCACCAGTTCGTCCACGCTCAACTGAGCAGTTGCTCTTGCCGAGCGCAACTCGGCACCAGGTATTGGTTGTACATCTTCGACGAACCTTCGACATTAACTGTTTTCGCAACATACAGTCCAGTTTCGTCAAAACACTACCTAATCAATGCTGCAGACTGGCGAAGAACACAGTTGTGTCGCATTCAGATGCCTTCGTGGGCCACTTGAGCTTACTCACATCCTCCCTCTTGAGTGGATCCTAATTACTAATCTATCTCTATTCCAGCTGACTCCTTGCAGCCGTTGAAATTTTCAACCCTCATATGTTTGTGGCCAAGGAACCCTATAACTTCTGGTCACGACATCAAATGAAAGGGTGGATCTTCTCGCTGTGAAGGCATTCAGCAACAAACACGAGCTGAACGGTTACAAGCTATTATATACGAATTTATATACTTCATATACACGCAGTTTTTAAATACGAACGTTCCCACGTGTCCTTGATATTGATTGACTATTACACAGTATATATTGTGTTCGTTTGATATTGAAAGAACATTTCAAAGCGGTTGTACGATTTCCTTAATAAACTTCACCTTCCAATAAATTTGCTGACGAGGAGTGGACCATTGACTACTTGCATGCTTCATCAGTACTTTAAACGTTACACCTGTAGTGACCCGTGAGAAGTATATATGAATCAAAATGACGTCATAGGTGCACTGTGTTGCCGTGCCTCAGGAAGAGTGCGCCAGATGAAACTGGCCTCATTTATGTTACTTTGTTTATGCGTTGGCCTTTGTCTTTCAGATTGGTTTCGGGGTACCCTGATTTTGACAGGTCCCACTTTGGTCGACTAACCAGCAATCAGGCAAGCCTTGAACTTGACCTCTTCGTTTTTCTCTGTGACATTTGTTGGGATAGTCAGATGGGATTCCGCTTTCTTGCTTTATTTCATGACGAAAGTATCGTCCAACATGTGATCTCAAAACTCTGGCAGTAAAAGCAACTTCAGTGCGTGAATCACCACTGTGGCGCTAAATCTCCATACCAGAGATCCAAAGGATCCCCTTCAGTAAGTTCCTTTTAGCAAGTCTATACAAGCTACTGGACACACTATGGAATATATATCCTCAATGGCTTTAATTTTTGGTTCAGGTGTTGGGTGAAACTGTGGAATCGAAAGCGTATTTTTCACTGCAGTAGTGAGGCTTCTTCTAAATTTGGCACCAAGAAAGCAAACTGCAAAAGTATCATCTGAAGTTTGCTATGTTGGTGGTCAACGTATTACTGACCAATTGGCCTGTCCAAACTACATGCCGACCGACCAACTCAGATATTGACATGCTTGGTCGTGGTGGTATGAAAAGTGGCAAGCTCCTCATCTTTGGATGTTTTTTTTTCTGAGTGTACGTTTCGGTTCATATATCCACTTTGTCTACTGTAATTTATGGCCCACCAATATAATCACTTCGTCAAACAAGCATTTCTCTCACTTCCAAATCTTCGGGAGTTGTCCACTCGATATAGCTTAGTCTACCGTTGTGAGCAGTCGCATTAAAGTGAGCTCTATTCTGCACAGATGAATACAAAACGCGAGCAAACGATGGTCTAAATGAGTGGAATTGAATTATTTAATTGATGAAAACAGCTACAGGAAGCTACCAGACTTTCCATTTTTCACAGACTTGCCAAAAGCTGTGAAGCATGATGGCAGCAAAACTTTCCGCAAAAATATTGAGGCAACGCAACCGTTTACTGTTTTCTTGCATCTCGTCTCATTGCATTTACCAGTCAAAATAATTTACCGGGCGCGGTACCTCACAAAGTCGAAAACGAACCTTACTTCTTTGAACAGACAACCATCCCTCCTGGCACCTTTACTCTGGTGATACTACTCACTTGAGAGCCCAGACGTAAGTTCAAGTGCGCTCAAAATGCGCCGGTGGAGTATAACCATGCTCGCCTCGCATGCCAGGTGTCCGAAATTAAGCCCCGTGAATGGCTATAGATGTGTGCTGCGGATACTCTCTAATAACAGCGAAACTAGGCTCGAGTGCTTCCGTCTATGAACTCCTCGGAGGTTATACATTATGGCAGGAGGATGACTGTTCCAAGAAATGTGATCTGAACACGGATTCGGCAGTTCCTGCAGCCACCTAAATTAGAACTTACTTGGCTAAATCCAGCACGTGAATTGTAGGCAGCACATTGTTCCCCTCGAAGTAAACAGGCAACGGTGATTGCTCTGACCACGCTATCTATAAAAACAAGTGAAAAACAACAGACGCGAAGTTTACTTTATAGCTTTAAAATGAATTTTTTGGTGAGTTTGCCCAACCGCTCTCCCTACGACCAACGCATCCTAAGCCTTGAAGTTCATTCAGCTATTCAGTACATCACTCGGTTTTACGTGTGAAGAACTTTGATTCATTCGCTCCATTTCTTTTTGCTTTGGCCGTTTCGTTCGTTCAAGGTGCTTGTAGTGCACAGCCGAGGGTAATTTGCAGGTCATTGCAGGTTGGCCAAACGGAACATTCGGGTGTATTTCTGATCCATCTCCTAGCTCTATGTGCGCGGATCAAGAATAAGTTGCTTCTTCGCTGTTCAGATCCACACTTCGTCTTCAAGAGCTTGTTAGGTGCGAACTAAACTTTGTTTCTTGAAGTGTGGTACTCAGATATTCAACGTAGTGGTACTGATCAAGAGTTGTTTAGTATTCTGAAATTCTACACATTTATATTGGCGCCACCTTGTCCACCGTCGGTGTTGGAGCAGCGTTGAGCGGAGTGGAAATTCCGAAATGCTTTACCTACACAAAACCTTATACTGGTTTCCAACACGCAAAAAAGTCCCAGTACTGAACACCTGCCGACGTATTTCTACCGGCGTGCTAAATTGATCGATCAGCACGAAGAGCCTGGTCATTAGCAGTCGGACGATTTAAGCTTACTCGCTGAAATTTGTGCTTTAGTCTGATCCGGTGTTACGTTTACTGGCGCAGTTAAGCACATTAAAGTAATAACCCGAAGCTAACTCATGGAAAACATGTACCAATGGACCTGGATATTTAGGAATCCTTTTTCTACTGGATGAACAAGTCAGGTTAAACGACATCTCTCTCAGTTGTTGGAAAGTCTCTGTATTTGGACCTAATCCGGAGATTTTAGGAACACAATCAGGTGGTTGTAAACGTCAGCAAGGTCAAACACGACGACCAATCAACCAAAAGTTTTGCATCCTTTTGTACTGGTAAACCGTCAGCAGCACATCCGAAAGCAGCTAGTGACGCTTTGCCTACCCACTGCTGCTGGCAGGTTAAAGAGACCACACTGCGTTCACTAAAGCACGCTTCTTTATTCGTGTATAGTACCCATTCTTATGCAACAACACACTTTCCAAAAACGAACAATAGTTATGCACCGAACATGGAAAATTTAAGACCAACACCAGATTTTCTAGATGAGTAAGCATTGCTATATTATTACTCACGACGCAACATGCATTGTCGGTACATTAGTTCTTCCTTATTTGAGAGAATTTTCGCATATTATCTCGTGTAGAAAGATGAATGGAACAGTTATCAGTTGTTTAGTATGGACACCGGACAGCCAAATATTTTTGTGTATATTTTTGAAAAGCGTATAACCCGACGAATTTACATACCTAAGTTGGGGTCTTTGCCGTTAACAAAAAAGCAGCAAAAGCAATTTTGTTAGGATAACAGTCTATGTTTAAAAACAGCAGTTTCACCCTTGCTGGGAGTCATCAGCAATCGGCATCTTAAAAATCTCTAGGGCGATTTACATCAGCAGATCTCCGGACAGAATTTATATACTGATGCTCGGCTGCGAACAGTGGTAAACTCACGCTTAAAAATCATAGGGCAACACTGATTTTTCAGACACCAATTACGTTTTAAGTGATTTTGTGCTGAATGAGATGTCACGCAGTGACTCCTTAGAGAAAAGCCCATGTGGTTTACCGGCTGTTTTATTTTTCAGCGTAATATTCGTACTTTGTGAGTAGCTCATAAACTTAGCATCTGTAAGACGTATGCAACCGTACAGAAGGAAACGCATTTGAACAGTCATGTGTTTGTCGGGTGGCTTCTTGTGGGAGTAATGGCTACGGAAGAAAATATACGTGTGTGTAAGAGTAAGGATGACTTACCCGAAAGAAATTTTGAAATATGTGCTCCTCAGCGCCGTAGACTAATCCGCACGCGAGAACGTAGGTTACGAATTTCTTCTTATGCTGCGCGAAAATGTTTAAAATAAAGACACAAATTTCAAGACCTGGTGCCCTTCGGCTAACGCACTGTCATTCTCAACAACACATAGGTGGTCAGTGCCTGATCAACTGTATGATGTAGCAATGGCCTATCGCTTTGCTCACTTATGTGTAGCTTTACAGTGATTCAATACGAGATGCAGCCGGAGGCATCGGCCTTAACATTCACCTCATAGGTTTGGACACCATGTGATGCCGCACTAATTAGAGGATCTTTCCAATAAGTGTAGTAATGTCGAAATTCTTAGTTCCTATAGTAGTGCATAAATCGCAAGCGAATTACTTGATAAGAAGCCACAACATTTATCCGCATGTCTCGAAATACTCGACGTAAACGAGCAACGAATTCCAAAAAATCAAAGTGGAAAGAATAAGTCCTGTCAGTTGGGTAATGCAAGTGACAGTGACAATCTAGAAAAGACTAGGAGGTAACCGTTAGGTTTACTTTTTGGCATCGTTTTGCTTTTGACACAAAAGATTTGTCAAGCAGTGGTGAGTGAAGAAAAGTGAGCAGATCAGTTGAATTTGCTGATGAGGTCAGGCCCCTGTGAAACACTCATCAAATGAATCCGAACTCTCCAGGGTGCTGACGGCCGACTGACAGAGATAACACCTGAAAACATTTTCTACCTATCGTGCTCTCATGTCGACAAATTGCCGAACCGACCGATGAACATTGACTGCACTGCGATGAATAAACTCTCCAAACGAGTCTGAGTCCGACTATAGTGAATGCAGTTCTTTAACCGACCGATTAACATGTTTTAGAAGGAAGAGGAGGTTCTGTCAGATTTCAGAGATACTCTAAGCCTGTTATTTCACAAAGGAAAAGGAAGGAGAAACTCACCTGACATTTACAGAAAACTATTAGTGGCTTGGTAGCAAAAACCGATTAACTTAGAAGGAAGAGGAGGTTCTGTCAGATTTCAGAGATACTCTAAGCCTGTTATTTCACAAAGGAAAAGGAAGGAGAAACTAAACTCACATTTACAGAAAACTATTAGTGGCTTGGTAGCAAAAATACCTCACACGGCAAGAGTAGCCGTTACTCGCTGACAGATTGAACGCGTGATCACGTGATGTTAATTCCGTGACTGAAGGAGAAGTGGCGCTTTATCTTGTCTAATTGTGAGTTAATCACACAGCTATTCAGCCGCTGGTGGCCGAATGGCTTAGTCTTCAGCTACCAGTCTTGGGGTGGTCTCCATAGAAATTCGTGAGATGTGCACTGATGAAGATTCCCAGTAAAGAGTAAACAGGTGTGGAATGCATCTGCACTTTCAAGCCTAAAATGACTTCATTTACACGAGGAAAGTCTCGGTCACTACTACCAAATCTCTTACTGCTACCACCACCAAAAAACAACCTTGTCTTAAACAAGTAAATTTCGGTCTTCCAATGTACATATGTAATACTCTATATATTACTGCTTTGGATTTAGAAGTTGACGACGCAACCGCACAACTTAGGCCTACAGTCTGGCTAAATCAATCGGCAAACTGGTACAAGTGTTAGGCTCAAAACACTTTTCCGTCTGCCGAACAGTGGTAATTTCAAAAAGCTTCAGATAATGGCAACTCTACCTTGGCCAATACATTCTCTAGCATAGCATTGGGAAACGCTTTGAGCTGGCAACCAATAAAAGGGTGTGCATTGGTCAAAAACCAAACCTTTAATACTCACCTTTCTGCCCAATCTTAAAATCTCCTTCTCCAGTTCGTACAGGTCCTGATGGTTAGGATGTGGTTTTCTTCTGCGATATTCTGACTCAGTAAAGATAGGGTCCTCCTTGAAACAACAAAATAATGAGGTTCAGACCACATCTTATTTAGTTACAAAACTTCCGTGAAACAAGCTGGAAGACTTCTAACTAGAATACCACACTAGATGTCATCTGGACGGTGGATGCTGCCACCTTTACAAAGGCCGAGACTTAATAAGGCTTTAATGGCTGTCGGTTCTAAACTTATCAATTCATACGATGATGCTGAATTTGGCACAGTATGGAGGGAATATCTCTACACAGCAGAGAAGTGGCCTATGGAGTGGTAGCTTGTCTCGAGGATTTTTGCTCGTTGGTAATGCTACAAGAGTGATAATTGTGATAGACAGTTGCAAACCATAAGGAAATAGGTCTCGAAATTTCGCATCTTAATCACCAATTCTTTGTATTGTTGATCCTCAACTCTTTTTGAGTAAAAGCTGTGAACTCAGTTCAAACGAAGACAAACGATTTTTGAAAATAGTTCTGAAAAATACGAAGCACACTTATGCGAATTACGTTTTGACTGTGGATTGCTGTTATCAATCCTATACTTTAATTTGGCAAAAGCCATGCATGTGATATACATGTGGTATACATGATACTTGCTCCAGAGAGTTACCCAAACAGTGTGAGCTAATGACACTGAGTTTTGCCAATAATGTACATCTTGATATAGATGAATCTTCCTAAAAATCCTTCGGTATCAACACCAGATGACAAACATTACGAACATTTCTTATTTTCTTCCTTTATCATCACTAATCGGCCAACCCTATTCATTTATGAATGTCCCGCTCCATTTAAAATAAATGAATTTCAAACTCAGTGAATCAGTAATCTAGGAAGATGCATCACTCTGAGGGAGGACACCTACCCCCACCTCTTATTTTGGCAACCATTTGGCAAAGATCACACAACAAGCCGCTTTTGTGAACCTGCGTCACCGCAGCGGTGAGCTCCATATCACTTAGCGGATCAGAAACCTGGTCGCTGCGCTCCGAGGACGCCCAAAGATTTTCAGTGTTTGACCATTGCTGTCTTCTTATCGTTGCCCGAGTCTGATCGGAACACCGGATCAGCAATGCTGAAGTACGTTGAATGGTATTTGGAGAAAATAACTCACCCTCGATAGATGTGCTGATCAAACTGCATAGTTTGGGCTGGCTTGGCCACATGATCCGTGGGCCAGTTGACCGAATTCCTTGAAGGGTTCGTTTAGCACAATCACGTGAAGGATAGAAACGAACCAGGGGCGGTCAAACGATGACTTTGCAGCGAAGTATAAAGGCCATTTACCAGAAAACTCAGCCGCACTGGTCATTACCGTATCCTTGGATAGGGATCCCGAGACAGGACATATCGGTGTTTAGAGACATTGTTAGGCATGCAGCAGTCTTGTCCTTGATCGCGCTTATGCATCCAAGCTATTGCCTTCAACGTATAGCTCTCTTCCCAACCTTCCTATTTAAAAGTTCACTAACAACGCTGTATTTACGCATCAATAGTGTCAACTCCCGCCTCCAATGCCCGACTACCTACCCCACCTCCCCAAATCATCGGTGAACAAACCTTAGGCGGCTATAAATGCCGTACAATAATTATCTTCACAGCAATTCAATAAACACTGAAGAAAGTGTACAGTAAAAAGTACCGGTAATGAAATGAAAAAGACTAGTCAGCTGACGCCGATCTTGGCATAGGAAGGCTTTTTCGAAGCCTAAATTAATTTTCATTAAATGCTAGCAGTAACGAGAGTAGTCCACTTTTAAATTACTATGGACCAACAAGAAACGAAAAAATATTCAAAAGTCCACTTAAAATCCCACTTGAAAATTTCCATTTTCTTCTTGAATGTTGGTTTGGGAAAATTAATGGTAAAAATAATAATAATAGTCAAGGACGAAAAAACTCCAGTGTAGTCTGAGAACGGTAACCGGGATAGAAAAGCAGGGCCAAAATTGCCCAAAAAATTCAAATTCCTTGTAACCATCCACCTAAACATGTAAAAGTGACTCAGTCGCTGAAAAAGCAAGTTGGTGTTTTTGACCAGCCACCAACACGTAACTCATCAGAGTGCTGTTGCTTAAGCGTGTTCTGAGCAAAAGGCTCAGTAAGGGTGGCAAACACCAAATTAATTTGACTGTGTCATAAATACATAGAGCACATTGGTGACCGAGTTATTTTTTGAAATTGACAGTCTTGTTGCATCTCTACAAGTAAGAGATCACGAACTGGATCGACTGACGCAACCGGCACAGCATCAGATTGATGGCTCCGGTACCAAGACTAATTATTGGAAAAGTCAGGTTAATATCACGTGGCCATTCAGAAGACCAGTGAAAATCCCATTATTAGGATTGTTGACCGAGGCAACAAATAATACTTGGATAACCTCTTCAGGTGCACACTATTGGCGAATGCATGGCTACCAACACAAAGCTCTGCTCAGCTTCACGGGCACTGGTGACCAGTCATGTGCAAACAAATTGTCCGTTATCTGGAAAAAAAAGTTATAGTGTCATCACATAGTTAAGACTGTTGTGCATAAAGAAAGGGAAAAAGCTGCTATTTTATTCGCGCGGAATTTTACGGATTAGTTGCACATAAAATGAATGCAACTTGCAGTGAAATTACATGTTTAATTTGTACGGTTGTCATCAATAGGACCCGTGTCTATGGGGTTATTGATTAAATTAAAAACAAAAAATGTAGTGAAATTGGTCAGGAAGGGTCTGTGGATTCGGACGTAACGGGGAAACACACCATATTCCCAAAAACTTGTCTACAAATATTAGAGGCACACTTCTACAAGAAGTTTCTGAATCCTGCTTAAGGGGTATATTTCACAGGTGTGAGCCCCTCATTTACATGAATCAAATAAACTGACCCTCAACCCATTTAAAAAGTAGTCTCAATTGTACGACCAAATTGAGTGACCAATTTTATGTAGATCGTGTGTACCCATTAACGAGTTCCTTTTATGGACAACGAGTGATCACAGTAGTTTGTTGGTGCAAAATGTTCAATAAAAAATACAGCGTAGCCGTATGGCTTCCCAAAAATAGTACGTTGGGTAAACTTCTTTTACTTATAAGTTCTTGGTAACAAGTTGAGCTATTTCTAGTCAAAGAATGCAGTTTCTCAAAAGTCTAGTTTATTAATCTGCGTCATCTTTGTTTATCCGGTGCAAACAGTGCACTGTTTCAGGTGCATTTATTCACTTTTTTACCCATACTTCAATTCATCTCCCTGAGTTAGTTGGCAATCGATTGATAAAACGTTGTCAAATTCTGAGAGATATTTTCCCAAGAAAGTCAAAGCAGTTCCGCAGATTTGGCGAGCTAAATGAAGTCTAAGTACATACTCGCCTGTATATCAGATACACATGTATCTATTTTGATAGCCCTGTAACTGCCAGCCGCGACACCCAACGTTTTTTCTTACTGAATTACTAATGTCCACGCTATATTGTTGTATTATTTGTGTGGTCTATCTTGCTACACCAACTGACGAGATGTGCATCCTATGGTAAAACTTCAGAACAAACATCTGAGCCTGCTTGTTGCATGTTGTGTTTAAAACACCTAATTGGGTGGTCAAAAACAGAGCTCGAATTCTCTCTATAAGACAATTTTCTGATAAATATGTCCAAGTTATCTTGGGTTTTATAATCCTTGAGCACTTTTCGGAAGGAATAAGGCACCCGAACGCGACTAAATCAATAAAGTTGGACAGGATATTCAACCTTCGTCAATTCTGAAAAGTAAATATTGGAGCCAAATTTCAGATGAATGACATTGCCTGTCTTATTGAATTTTAAGCTATATCTGATTCGACTTATCGCGGTTCAGTATGTATTATCCTTCTTGTTGATCATATATTGTATATTATGGCAAAGTTCGCACATTACTGGTGAGCCAAATATCAACCGGCTTTGTTAATTAAAGTAATATAAGCCAGATAATGCTGCAAGCACCAGGAAAACTCTGGTATCCCGGCGAGCGGATTGACCGTCTAGGGAATGCTCATGACATTCTCTTACTTAGCAAAACATTAAGACCCATAAACCAGTCCTGACGACACCACATTTTACGCATGGCTGGTTGAACTGGTCACCAGCCCCATTAATACGAAGTCGTTTGCACAAGGTTTCAATTAGTAGTTCTCTACAAGCTTGCCTGTTCAACGTCCTTTATTCTGTTCACACCGGGATGCTTGGTGATTTCCACTTGCTTTGGCATTGTTCTCCGTTGTGTGAGTTATGGATCCGTAAAAATTAAACTGATCTAAAAAAACACGCCCACATGGAACTGCTAAGGACCAGAATTCGAATGTCTTGTGGGATTTATAGATGCTAGTGCGAGCTTTCCATACGTGAGGTCTGATGCTCCCCCGAACGCGGCACTCGTCCAAGCAGGTACGTGGTATTAACAGTCGACGTACTATCCGTTTATAAATAGTGGAACACCCGGGGCGTGAAATTCACGATTGGCATATAAATTTGGGCAGCATAAACTCATTGTTTTGGTTCGGAAAACAGGTAAAACTTCATCATAAACGGGACGGATTGACTCATCGCGAGATATTTTGAGTGTAACTTGTTGAAATTTTCATTATTTGCTGTCAAAGATGAACATATGTGGGTGCATACTGAGAGGCAATGAAGGGCAGTCGAAGGCATTGGCATACACTCGGTTAATCTCTGTGGTTCCATAGTCTTCAGCAGCATTACCCTGTAAAGTAAGTGTTTGTCTGTCTGCCTGTGAGGTTCTTATAGCGACCGGTATCGTCAAGAGGTAAATTTGGCCTAAATTAAGCGGCAAATTGGGCCCATTGCTGACTGCTAGTTTGGCCCCATTTTTCATTCTTTTTCCTCATTCTGTGCGTATCTGTTAGTAAAGTAATAGCACGTTAACTAAAAAGCCCTGACTCTTCCGCAATAAGTGCATGAAGTCAGTTTTGCAAGTAGAAGTAAAGTGTAAAATGCGTGCCCAGGGGTTTGATTAACTGTACAATAAGCCAC